CACAGAGCCCTGTGGCTGTGGCCGAGCCTGGGGGTCCGGCTGGAGGCCAGCTCGGCCATCAGGGTAGTCAGGGCTGGTGTATGCCGCGGCTGGGACCCCACCTTGGACCATTGCAAAGGAAGATGGAGACGAGTTTTGGTAGCTGCTGTGAGCAGAGGGCATCTGCGAGCTGACAGGCGACCGGTAAACAGGCTCAGCTGAGGCGTGGGGAGGTGTAACCGTGCCATGGGGGCTGCCCTCCGAGGGATAGCTACGGAGGGAGGCCCTGAGGAGAGATGAGAAGGAGGAGTCAGCTCCATTCCTTGTTCCCGCTGCTGGCTGGCACCCTCCTGTGAGTGGTGCACAGGGAAACTGAGGCGTGGCGCCAGCAAGCTGCTCAGAGACAATGGTGGGATGGGTCCTGCCAGCTGCATGAAAGCAACTGGAGGCAGCTTTAGTTCCCCCATGCATCCCAATTCCCTCTCAAAATATGACTTTCTGAGAGACAGAGCCTTTTGCAAGCTCCTCTCACAGCAAAACACCCAGTTCATTCCTCCTTGCCAGCCTCGCCAGGTGAGCTGGTGCAGGACACCCCATGGCCAGGGTGGAGAGGGGACATGGACGATAGCTCCATCACACCACAGGGCACCAATGCTCAGCCCAACCCAGGGCCAGGGCTTAGCACAGACCCTATCCCTCCTCCTGCCCCAAGGGCCAGGTTCCCAGCAAGATGCTGCTGAGGACCAGTGACCACCAGTGATCCAGCTTTGTGTCCTCAGGGCAGTGAGCGACATGGTTAACCAGGACCCCTAAACCCTCTGTGGGAGATGGGGGTCCTTGCAAAGGCAGTTTCAAAGTGGGAGCAAGCCTGTGCACCAGGCAGGGTTCAGCCCCGGCCCCACCAGCCCCCAGGACCTGCACCCACTGCCTTACCCGTCCACGCTGTGAATGGGGCTGCTGGTGGAGACCGGGCTGGGGGCAGTGAAGGAGTTGGTGAAGGCGCCATTCCTGGTGGGCACCTCCGGGCCCCCGGGCTGGGCGGTGGGCAGGCTCCCTCCCCGGCCCGTCGTGGCTGTGCGGGCCACCGACTCAACGTAGCTCCTGGGCTCTGCAGCAAAAGAGAAGGGGAAACGGATGAGCCCACAGCCCATGCCCTTCCCAGTACCCCCATTCCAGCCAGTGAAGGTGCTTGAGCTGGGCTCCTCCAGCTGCACATTTCCCCCATTCCTCTTCCCCCAGGGGCTGTGCAAAAACACATCTGGCCCATCTGGGCCTTTAGGTTGCTCTGACGGATGCTGAAGACCCCGGTCAGGGTACAGGGAGGGGGGTTGTGCCCACAGCCTTTCCCGGAGCAAACCATGGCACGTGGGACCGAGGTCCCTTCCCGTGCCACGGCCCCTCCGCCCTGCTCTGAGTCAGCGTCGCTCCCCACCCACGATGCCACACAGCACACACCATGCTCCCTGCTCATCCCTGGCCCCTAAAAATAGAGCCGGTGACCCTGCCCAGCCCGCACTGACTCACGCAGGACTGACGGCGGTGCCCAGCGGCCCCTGCCCCGCGCAGCCCACCTCTGCCAGCCATCTCCAGCAGCAGACCAGAGAGCAGCTCCAGCTATTTCCACTGCAGTATCCAACACTCTCGCTCCCAGCCCGGCTTGAAACCAGAGCCCACGAGCACGACCAAGAAAAGCAATTTTCCTTTGCAGCCGCCGAGCTGTCCCGTGCCAGGAGCAGCGGGCTGGGCTGGCCGTCACCAGCCAAGGCAGCCGCCAGACCCTCCTCCCTTTCCTCCCAGCCTCCTTCTCCATCCAGGCTGGTCCCCATCCCTGTGATAGCCCCCGCAGCCCCCACCCCCTCCAAAAGCCATGCCAGATAAAGGGTCTGCAGCTTCAGCCCCGTCCCCCCATGCCCTCACAGCCGTGTCACACCTCGGCTGGCACATGCCACCAACTGCCTCCGTGCTGGGGCACAACACCCTACGTGAGACGCGCTGGCGTCAAACGCTACGGGCTGGGCATCCTCACAAGTCCCTGGCTCCAGGCTGGTCGTGCCCCCAGGCTGGCCGTGCCCAAGGCGGCTCCGCAGTAGTAATTAGCATGACAAACATTATTATTATTAGTCATAACAGCTGGGCTCCGGCTAAGCCTGCCAGCAAGCCGGCCCACTCACAACCAGGAATGACAATGCTCAGGTCCATGTTCAGTGCCGGACCAGGGGGTTGCAAGGAAAAAGACTGTCACACGTCTCCCTTCTTCCCCCCAGTGTCTCTGTGCCCCAACCACCTGAAGACAGGAGAGGAGTCGTCCATCCCTGATGACGATCTCCCTGCCCAGCCCTGCTCGATCACCCCAGGAAAGATCTGAGCCAAAAACAGACCAAGGACCTCAACACGGGCTGAGTACCAGCATCTGAGGCAGGACCCATGGCTCTGAGTGGTGGGGATGAGGCACTGCCCAGGCGGACGCCCAGGGCAGCTGCAAGAAACTCATTGCCGCTTAGGTAATTAAATTAATGTCACAGCTACTCACTTTTCTCCCCCAGCTCCCCACCCCAGACTAAAATTAGCCAGACAGTACATATGAGTCAGCCTGCAAGAGGTTAAGACCAAACGGCTGTGAAAATGCCAGCCCCTCCTGCAAAGGTGGGGGCCAAAGGGAGTCACGGGGGTGCGCGTGTGCAGGCATTCGTGTGCCACAGCAAGGTGTGTGACCGTGGGCACGTGTGTGAGTCGTTTGGTTTAATATGGGGAAAAAGAAAGGAAAAAAAAAACAAAAACTGTTTCAGGCAGGGATTTTTTAGGTTGAAAAAATCAGATCTTGCCTCCTAGTGTTTTCTTGGAAGAGGCTCCAGAGATGGGAAGACGGTGGGAGAATAGAGAGACCTTGAGTCACCGGGGGTGGGGAGGTGGGCAGCTGTTTGAGAATCCCAAATCCGAGCAGGGCCGTGCTCCAGCCAGAAATCCCCAGCACTGCGACTGCACTGGGCTGTTTTAAAGTCTCCTCCTCGGAGGTGGCAGCCAGGCCCTGAGCTCCCGTGCTGCCAGAGCATCCCCTGGTCCCAGGAGCAGCTGAGCAGAGCCCAGTGGGGCAGCAATCCTCGTGGAGCGTTTGGCTGGGTGCAGAGGGTGCTAAGCCAAAGTTTTGTTAAGCCAAAACACCCGTTCCTGCTCAGGACTACAGATTTAACCCCCCCAAAAACCATCACGTAATCAAGAGGAAGAAGGACAAAAGCAGGGGGCAAGAGGCTGGTGGTGGCCACTCACCCTGGCCAGCGCAGAGTCACCAGACATCCTTTAATGTACCCAAAAAAACATCGCTGAAAAATGAGCTCAAGTTTTCTTCAAGCAAACACTTCCTTCGATATTACACAATGCTCAGGCTTGAGTTATGTGCATTTTGAGGAACTCTAGGGGTGAAACACTGACAGCTCCCAGGGCTGCAGGAAGCGTCACAAACTCTCTGAGAAGAGACATCCTCTCCCCAGATCCCATCTTGAACACATAGTTCCCCATCCCGGCCCTGAGGGCCCAAAGTTTCATTAAAGAAGAAAGCAAAACTACCCAACGACCATTAGATAGCAGGTGGCAATCCAAGGGATCGCAGCCGCTCCCAAAGCCCCTATCCCCCCTGGAAGACATACCACCCCAGAGCCCATCGTGCCCCCACCGCTGGCAGAGCTACCCCCCAGCTGCCTCCCAGCTCAGCCCAGTCCTCAGCATCCCAGGAGAGGCGCAGCCCAAGGATGGGAGAGGTGGGGGAATTTGGGCAGTCTCCAGGCCAGCAGAGGATGCACGCCGGCTGCCGGCGCTGTGCCGCTGCCCGGCCGGCCTAGCCAGCAGCACACTGGTGGCCTCTGCGCCTGGTGACCTTTTGTGCTGCACTTTGGTTTATTTTCACTCCGAACAGCAGCGGCAAAGCCAGAAGGGGAGGGCAGGAGCCCAGAGCCGGGGCTGCGGCTCCCAGCCCCCCACCAGGCTCGTCAGAAGCTGGCCATGATGTGCCAGCATCCCCGGCGTGCCACCGGCAAGGATGCCATGCACCAACAGCGAGCTCTTGGCCCCCATGGACAATCACCACCCAACATGACAGAACCTCCACCTCCAGTTGGGACATGGGGGCAGCAAACTGCAACACAAGGCATGGCATTCTCTTCCTCAAAAGGGAGCAGTACCGGCAGGATTCAGGCTCCTACATCCCTGGGGGCCAGCGCAAGGGAAGGCTGCTGGCGCAGACAGCCAGAGCCTGCTCCAAGCAACAGTCCCGACAGCGGGGATGAACAGGAAAGAGCGAGTCAGAGAAAGAAAAGCCTTTCTTACCTTCTTCAGAGCCACCGCCCGCCTCCCCTTCTAGCTCTGAGAGGCGGAGGGGTAGGGGAGCGATGGGAGCGCAGAGAGGAGAAAGGGAGGTGCGAGACAGAAAGACAGAGAAATCCAAGTTAAGCAGCTTTGCCTTACTCAGGCAGGGGCACAGAGAGTGCAAAGGAGAGCCCCACACCTCCCTGACACTGCACCCCAAATCAGGCCCCTGGCCTCAGATGCCCCCAGGGTCCACCTGGGCATCCCAGAGATGATGGCCAAACCCCAAGAGGCTGGTTTCGGGTGGGGAAGAGGGGACAGTGGGGAGCCACCATGAAGGGCTGCTCCAGGAAACCCACCAAGCACCAAAAAAGCATCAGCTCGCCCTTAGGGGCAGAGCAAGAAGGGTCTCACTGAGTGGGCTTAGCCAAGCTGTGCCCGCCCCCCCAGGCTCAGCCGGGTTTTGGGGGGGTTACACTCAGCCCTGAGGTGGCCCAGGAAGGGGCCCCGGGTGCTGGGGAGCCACAGGGTCTGGCTTGGCAGGCTGCTCTGGAACTTGTCATGCCTTTGCACCCAGGGACCACCCGGGACGGA